TATTTTTAATACTTAATGGCAATTATATTTTGAGCACAATCCAAAATATCTATTTATTGGCTTTCTGAAAAAAATTTTTTTAAAAGTTTCTTTTAGCCAGTAAACTTAAACCTAATGTCTTGGAGTGCTCATTGGAAGGTCAGTAGTTTGAATCCATGAGCTGCTTCACAGGTGGTCAGTTTCTTCCCCTAAAGATACTTTATAGAAGACTACTAGGAGTTGAAATAAACTTGATGGCAGTGGGTTTGACTTTTAAGAATACTTTTTAAAAAAAAGATAGGAAAAAAAAAACCAAAAAAAAGAATACTTTTTAAACCTATAGATAATGTAACTTTGAAAAAAAGAGGATAATAAAGTAATAATTTTTAAAAGGTATGCCATTACAGAGATCCATACAAACATATGCTGGGATGTCTGCCTGACTTATAGTTTTTTAGTAGAAGATATTAGCATTTATGTTTTGTGATGATCCAGAATCCCAGTCACATAAGTAGAATTATTACAAATTATAGTTAACTAATATCATGTTGAATTTTAATTATAAGATGACTATAATTTAAAACATAGTTACCTGAGCATCTATCCCTTAACATTTTTGAATGACTGTCAGTTGCTAGAAAACTGTTGACTTCTTTATTTATTATCTCTGAACATAAAGTAAATGGGTCTGGAAAAAAATGGGGAAAATGCAAGTTAATTAGGGAGAAGCACCCAGAATTTGGAAGATCTATCAATTATCAACATTTTCTTAAACTTTACCCCACATTCAGTCATCCTAGCAGATAAACATAAGGATTCAGAATATCAGTAAAAGAGGGCTAAAGAACTGACTCCAGGAACAGTTAAAAGAATGGCATATATGCTTGCTAACCATGATCCACTGGGGTCCAATCAGTTCTGACTCACACCATCCCTACATGACAAGGAAGATCTGCCCCTTAGAGTTTCCAAGGCTTTAAATCTTTACGAAGCAAACTGCTCCATCTTTACCCTGAGCAGTGGCAAGTGGGTTCAAACTACCACTGGTCCTTGGAGAAGGACATCATGTTTGGCAGAGTGGAGGGGTGATGAAGGAGAGGAAGACCTTCGATGAGATAGATCGATTCTGTGACTGGAGTGGTGGGAATAAATGCATTTGAGATGGCTAGGTTGGCACAGGGTAGAACGGTGTTTAGAGCTCTTGTACATAGGGTCGCTATGAGTCGTAAGTGACTCGATGGCACATAACAACAACAACAACAAAATCTTCTACTAGTTTATTTACAAAATCCTAATACATTATTTTCAAAAACAAAGTCTTTCAATTTCCCTGCTGCTGCCCCCCCATGAAATTGTACAACCCTATGACTGACCCCCACTCCCCCTGCACATCCTCATCCCTATGTTTCCAGCCTCTCCCACCCCTCCTGGATCCTTATACTCATTCCACAATAATGGTTTTTACAGTATTTATCCTTGTGGGACTGAGTTATTTCACTCAGCATAATGCTCTCCAGTCCCTCCCAACTTAGGTAGTAATTTACAAAATCATTGCTCCTGTGTGCTGCATAGTATTACACTGTGTGAATGTACCATAATTTCTCAATCCATTTGTTCGTGGTTGGAAATTTTGGCTGTTTCCATGTTCTTGCGGTGATAAATAATGCTGCTATCAACACTGATGTACACAAACCATCATCGTTTGCGTGTGTTAGAAGGCAGACCTTTTATGTACACTTTTAGCTGTGTCAGTCCCTTAAATAATCTGTTTTCATGAACAATCAAGAAAAAATATTTTTTACTCCTACCTGTTACTGGTAAATGCTGTTTCCCATTTTTTACAATGGCAGGTGGATGTTTAATAACATGGTCACTAAAAGAAAACAGACACAAGATTATGAAGAGTAAACATGCTGTATGGCACATGGATAAATGTTTTGGTGAACAGGGATGTAATTCTGGGGACTTGGCATGCAGAAAGAGTTAGAGCCAGGATCTGGTAAAATCTACATAATTCTGCAACACTTAGAGCCTTGTTTGAAGACTAGAATGAAACAAGATTCTAGATAGCAACAGTACTGGTGCCAACAGAGGTATAAAAGAAAGAAAATTATAGAAAAAAAAGAGAGAGAGAGGAGGAAGGAATTAGGATAAAAAAAAAGAAGACAGTAAAATCAGTGAGAAGGAAAAAAGAGGATGGGTGCAGGACTGAAAAATGCTGACAGTACTCACTTGTGGAGTAAGCATTTGAAAATCCTGACTCCCAGAACATTTAAGTGCTGAACCCTGTGCTCCTAGATGATTTGACTTGCCTATGACTATATTTCCACAATGGGAACAAGCAGTGCAGATAAAAAGCAACAGCTTGTAGCCCAGAAAACAGAGATAGTGAGAGGTACAGCTATAGTTAGACATAACTGATAATACTAATAGCTCAGGTGACATTAATACAAAAAATATTAATAACCTGGGTCAGGAAAAATAAGGTCAACTCTAATGAATGACAAAGAAAAGACCAAAATAGGTATCAGAAGAGACTCTGACAATTGCAGTAGAACATCGAGAAGTCATACAAAGGGAAGCAATGCCAAAGTAAAGGAGATGGACAGATAATGTAAAAGGTCAGCTTGAGAAAGAAAAGTATTCTACTGAACAATACAAAGAGCTGGAGTTAACAAGTGAAAAGGGAAGAACATGCTCAGCATTTCCCAAACTGAAAGCCTTGAGCTGTCATACTGAAGGAAGCTATTGGTAACATGTTGAATGATCCAGAAATCATCAAAAAGAAGATGAGGGGTTACTGTACCAAAAAGAACTGACTGACAGAACCATTTCAGGGAGCATCATATGAGCAAGAACCAGTGGTCATGCAGGAGGAAGTTGAAATGGCACTGAAGGCACTGGCAAAAAATAAGGCCCCAGGAATTGATGGGAGATCAGCTGACATGTTTCAAATAACACACGCAGCCCTGGATGGACATACTATCACTGGTCTGTGCTTAAGAAACTTGGAAGACAGCTACCTGGCCAACTGACTGGAGGACATCCATATTTATTCCCATTCCCAAGTGATCCAACAGCTTGTGGAAATTATCAAACTATATCATATACAAATAATATCTTGCTGAAGATTATAAAAACAGCTACAATAGTACATCCACAGAACACAACCAGACATTTAAGCTAAATTCAGGAAAGGCCATGGCCCCAGGGTCATCACAACAGATGTCAGATAGATCCTGGCTGAAAACAGAATACCAGAAGGATGTCTATTTCTGTATTATTGACTATGCAAAGGCATATATGACTAAGTAGATCACAAAAAAATATTGCTAAAATTGAGAATGGGAATTTCACAATATTTAATTGTAATCTTTTGAACCCTATACCTAGGCCAAGAAGCTGTTGTCCAAACAGAGCAAGGGTACATTGCATGGTTTAAAATTTTAAAAAATGTGTACATCAGGTTTGTGTATCTTTTCTTCTTACCTATTCCATCTGTATGTACAGTGAAATCACTTCAGAAGCTGGACTTTATAAAGAAGAATGTGGCATCAGAGGATCAGAGGAAGACCCATCAACAACCTGCATCTTTGTTGTGCATATATATGACATGACCTTGCTTGCTGAAAGCAAGGACCTGCAGCACCTTGCTGTAGAAGATCAAAGACTACAGCCTTCAATACAGACAACATTAAAGAAACAAAATTCCTCACCACTGGGTCAAGAGGCGACATGATAGATGGAAGGAAGACTGAAATTGTTAACAACTGCATCTTTCTTGAATCCACACTCAACACCACTGGTACCAACAGTCAAAAATCAAAAGATGAGTTGGACTGGAAAAATCTGCTTTCAAGGACATCTCCAAGGTGCTAAGGAGCAGCAATGTCAGTTTAAAGACTAAGATGTCCCTGATTTAAGCCATCATCTTTTCAATTACTTCTTTTTTAACATTTTTTAAAAGTAATTTTAATGAAAGTTTACAGACTTTGCATTTCCATTCATTCATTTATTCATTGTTGTACTTTTCTCCCTGCCCACCCCTCCCCCATCAATTACTTCTTATCCACTGAAAAATGAGACTGTGACTAAGGATGATAGAAGAATTAATGTCTTTGAGTGATGGTGCTGGAGAAGAGTACTGAATAGTCCATGGATTACCAAAAGAATAATCAAATCTGTCTTGGAGAAAGTGCAGCCAGGGTGTTCCTTAAAAAGCAAGGATGATAAAAGTTCTCTCACATACTTTGGGCATGCTGGTAGACATCATGTTTGGAAAGGTGGAGGGTCAGCAAAAGAGGGGACCTAACAACAACTAAATGATGCACAAGGGTGTGGCTGGAAGGTCAGAGGGGGAAATGATTAGTCCAAGAGTTAATATCTTAACTGTTTCTCAAGTCCGCATTCTTGAAATAAAAGTAAAATTATCAAGATTTGTCTTGAGGAAAAAGGGTTGGTGGCACTTTAATCCATCTTTCTGGTAATATTTTGTTCTCTCTCTTTCACACCCTTCCCATGATTCTCTTTTGTTTTACTTAGCACAGTAACCATCAGAAGAACAGAACACAAGGAAAGCTTAAGAAGAAAAGCCACAACTCCAGGTTCAACCTCACGGGGCTTTGAGGGTAGAAAAAAATATGTGCTTGAGATGCCATACAGGAAACAAATGAAAAAGTGAGTCCAAGCCAGATTATCAACACACTACACTAATTATAAACTTCTCCCCTTTAATGTTACACACTGATTTTTGTTACACTGCTGATGGATTATCAATGCATGTACTATTCATTTAGGAACAGAGTTTCAATTTAGGTTTTCTACTTTCTAAATTTCAAATCTAATCATGTCATTCAATTTAAAAGCCTCAGCTCCCTATACCCTGACTTAAAATTTAGTATGCCAGGGAGCTCTGGTGGCCTGGTGGCAAGAAGCTGTGCTGCAATCCCAAAGGTGTGCTGTACGAATCCACCAGGTGCTCGGCTGGAGAAGGAGGGGAAATCTCCTTCTGTGCCAGTCATATCTGACTCGATGGTACAAAACAAGAAAAAAATTATAATAATAAAATCACACACAAAAAAAATAAATAAGAAAATTAGTATGCCATGCAAAGCCCAAGATAAACTGGCCTATTCTTCCCCACCCACATTCCTTTCCCACCATCTCCTACTTTAGGCTTTTTTCAAGACAATATTTTGGCATTTTTATATACTCAGTAATTATCATTGTTGTTGTTCTGTATAATCTAGTCAGAACCATCTTGTAGCTGACACTCCAGCAAGTTTTCAAAGGCAATAAATCTCACATATGAGATTACCTACCTTTCTCCTGTGAACTGGTGCATTTGAACTGTGTACCTTTGGGTTGGCAATGCGGTTCCTTACCACTAAGGCACCAGAGCTCCCTAGTGATTAGCACAGTAGTCCACAATAAATATTTGTTCAGTAAGTAAAATTCAGAAACACTGATTAAACCATACCTTGACTGAGAAGGAAAATTCTCTTTTCTAAAAGCTGCTTCTTTAGATAAATTTTGATTGGAGCTTGAATTGGCATTATATAAAGTGTCATTTTTCCTGTTTTCTCTATAGCAAGCATTAATGGGATTTGCATTCTTTAATGAGGTCTTCATTTGGTCATGGCTTGTACAGGCTTTAGCCCTGACTCCACGGGACATGTAAAACTTATGTTCATCAAACTGGCTTTTATCCTTATCATGTGCTTGGGCACATCTACCAACATTATCTTCATTGAGGTGTTTCTGGGTATTTATCATCATAGCTGAAGCACTAAATTCTTCTCTTTGTACTGGTCCCTAAAATGTAAAAACTACAATAACTTCAAGAGCATTTATTCACTTTTTAATAAAACTTTAAAATAATGTAAAAGCAGTTTGTAATCACCAATAGAATATATATGATCAAGGCCGTTCATATTAGAGAGAAAAAGGAAATTTGTTCAATAAATGATAAGAAAATAATTGGTATGTATGAGGGGAAAACTAAGTTTTGATCCTTATCTCACAGTTTGCATAAAGTTAGCATAAGTCAAACATTTCAATTCTTTGAATATGTAAAGAAAAGAAACCAACATGTTTTACTAATTTCAAAAGAAAGAAGACTTACTGAAGTTTTATTTTTTAAAAAAACAATAAATTAGATACAAAAGTCCCCAAATATATTTGACTGTATAGGATTTTTAAAGTTCTGTTGTAGAGGGCAAGAGATGTGGTAAACCCAAACCCGTGAAAAAATTAAAAACTTTAATCAATAAAGTCAAGATGAAATGGGAAATATTTAAAAATTGATACAAATGAAGTAGAAAACTAGAACAAAGGATTACTAGAAAACAAACAGCAAGCTCTCATTCATTGCCACTGAGTCAGAACCAACTCAAAAACCACACCCTCTGCTGGGTTTCCAAGGCTATAAAGGAATGGGCCAAGGAGACATGGGGAAATCTTTCTCCCAAGGAGACACTGGTAGATGTGAACCACTACAGAGGTACAGCTTTTAGTTTGCAGCAAAACTTTGCTATTAGAACTCCCTATAGCAAGATAAGGAAAACAAACCCAAACCTCAAACTTATTGCACTGAGTTTGCCACTCACTGGCTGTGAGAAAAGACTCACAGCCGACCCTCCAGCAGGTTTCCAGAATCCGTGAAACATATTGTAGGAGCCTCTCGTTCTTAAATCCAAACTTACCAATAATTATATTATATATACATGTTGTGATCACACCAATTAAAAGACAAACTATCAGACAAGATTTAAAAGATTAAACAAAATAGGCTCCAGGCCTTTTGTTCAATTCTGTTTTCACTTATAATTATTTGGTTTATGTTCTAGGATGACTCTTTAAATATTATTACTGGATTTTACAAGTATTAAAATGTTAAAAATAACTTACAAGGAAAAATCTTTCTATATTTTAACCTTTATGATAAAAAAATCTCTATATTCTTTGAAACAAATAATCCAACCTCATCTTTGTCTCGCTCAAGCAGCTTTATTCTGTGTAGAATTTCCTTTGCTTGCTTCCAGTACTCTTCAAAATTCTTCTCGGTCACATTTATGTCCTTTAATTGTCCTTCATTTTCATTAAAAGGATAATCTCCTATGCTTAGAGATACTTTCTCAGCTTTGCAATATGAAGGGGAAAAAGAGTGAGTTTATCCAGCCCTAGAAATGCTACTTTACCACTTCTAATACAGAATGTTCTTATACCCCCTTCTTTAAATTGTGCCCATCCAGGAAGTGCTCTTGTGACAGAGTCCATCGTGGGCAGCACTGCTAACCCCTGCACAGCGCCTGTCCAGATTCCATAACTGCTTCACACTCTCTCTTCCATTGTTGCTGAGTTGGAACCAACTCATAGCAAGCCTTTCATGGGGGTTTCTGAGGCTGTAAATCACCCAGGAGGAAACTGTTTGCCTCCTCCCTTTCAGCTGCTGGTGGATTTGAACCACCAGAGAGACTTTGTCTTTGGGTTAACAGTGCAAACTCCTTAAGAACTATTCCACCAAAGCTCCTTAATGAGCACAACAAAGAATAGAAAGGTCTTGGCAGAGACCAAGTTTCCAAGTAATCATAAATTAGACTTTAGCCTTCAGAGTTATTGTTGTTGTTATGTACCATTGAGTTGGAACCAACTCATAGCTGACCCTCCAGCAGGTTTTCAGAGGCTCTAAATCACATGGGAGAAGACTGCCAATCTTTCTCTCTCCTAACCCTGGTGGTTCGAACCACTTTGGGTTGCCAGTACAACTCCTTAACCCCTAATCCACCAGAACTCCCTAAGAGTTATAGGAAAGAGAATAGCATGAAAATAAGTTATGCCAGACACAAACACTATTAGGTGTTTAGACACTAGTTTAAAAGGAGTTTGTCTTCTTTTTTTTAAGTTTATATGACATGGTGCATTCCTAGACTCTTTAAAATTCCTAAATTCTTTTTGGGGAACTCTAGTGGATTAGTAGTAAGAAGTTGCGTGGCAATCCCAAAGGCAAGTGGTCTGAATTCGCCAGCTGCTTCCCTGGGGCAGGATGGGTAGTCTCCTCCTGGGCAATTAACTGCCTCTGAAAACTCAGCAGAAGGTTAGCTATGGGTCGGCTCTGACTCGAAGGTACACAATAACAATGAACTCTTCTTACTTATTCAGTCAGAGCAGTTTTCCTTCTACAAACATTCAAATCCTCACTGTGGCCACTTCTGTCCACATTGGTCATTAGCTCCTTGAACGCATTAGGCTTCCTCCTACCACAGGGCCTGTGCCATTGTTAACATCTGAAACACTCACCCCTCACAGTCTCCTTTCTTTTGACTCAATAACTTTCAGATCTCAGCTCAAGCATGAATTCCACCCAAGGTTTTCTCTGCCCAACTCTTGATCAGATTTCTTTATTACTTGCTTTCAAGTATCTGTGTTCTATCCCTTTAAAACCTTTATGTCAAATGATGTGATACATTCAAATTTAAAATAATTCCATTCCTATCTACTTCTCCAGTTAAACTGAGCTCTGAGTACACAGTGTGCTTTCGCTTATCACTGTCTGGCACAGTGCCTGACACACAGCACTCAGTTTTAAGAAAATGAATGAATGCATATTATGATCCCACAACAACCTTTAACATCCAAACGTTTTAAGTCCTACAAATGGTTTATATAGTATAGAATAAGTATTTATACAGCTGTTGCTTCATATAGGTTTCTAAACGCAGAAAATATCCTAGTTGCCATTCCAAAAGCACATGTTCTGCTTTTCAAATGTAAGGTGAATTCTGGCTGCTAAAGCAGAAATAAACTTTCCTTAATAAGCACTGGCTGGTATTTTCTTAAACAGTAAACTTACTAATCTTTTTGCAGTTGTAAAGAACGAAAGTGACAGCTCTGTTGAGTTCCTCGTTCTGAGATTCACTTAAGGCTTGTATCATGAGTGAAAGCCCATTGTTTTTAACAAGGTCATACTGATTTTCCTCTGAAAAATACACAAAATATTAAAGAAGAAAGTGACTACTTTATCATGAGCTATCTGTATGAAGTCATAATTCTTCCATGTGATAATTCTGAACATATTTCAATTAAAAATGAAAAAAGCACAGCTTTAAAAATATTTTCAACCTAGGAATTAATCCATGTACACAAAACACCTAAATATCTCAAAATACCTAAAATACAGTCAGAGAGTAGTCAACTATACTCGCTATTTGTACTGTTATTTCTCTTGTTGTGTGTTATCTGATTGATTCTGACTCACGTTGTTAGGTGCTAATAAGATAATAGAAAAATAAACTGGTAGAGGGATAGAAAGAGAAAGAAAATAAGGTGGAAGAATCAAAAGAGAAGAAAGGCAGGGGGTTGGAAACAGGTGGGAAGGAGAGAGATAGAAGGACCAAGAAAATCGGGAGAGAGGAGAGTGGAGAGGGTTGGAAAGAAGGTGGGAGAAGAGAAGAGAAGACAAAGAACAAAAGAAGAATGAGAAGAAGAAATCAGAGAGAGGACAGAGAATAGAGGGAGAAGGAAGAAAATAACAACAGGGAAGAGTAACACATCAACAAAAGTTCTTTGATGATTTTCAGAAGGCATACATGTACAGCAGTGCACAGAGTAGATTGAAAAATGGAGGTAGGGAAAAATGAGTGGAGAGAGGAAGCAACTGCACTGCTACTGAGGAGAGACAGTGGGGGCTGAAGACATACATTGGGAGAGCAGCACAGGAACTGGACAGTGCAGGATAAAGAGGAGAGAAAGACAGGATGTCTAAACTTTTCATTTAGGGGGAGAAAACCACGTGTATTTCTACTTTGTTGTTTGAATAAGCACACAAAATAAGCCCAATACTTACCACAAGCATCTGTGCAATGACCAAGTGTAAGAATGATGCTAAATTTTTCTCGTAAATCCAGACTTTCATGTCGCAGTAATGCCAGCAGTTTTGCAACAATGTGATACTTGGATAGTATTACTCTAAAAGCAGCTATAAAACAGCAATAATAAAAACACAGTAAGTACAAACTAAAAATGTGCAACAATACACATACTACATTTTCCCCACCCATGTATCCAGCTTGTCCTGGATGAAAAGTATTACATATTTATATAGGATCTAATTTGGAAGCAGGAGTGGCATCCACTTCCTAAACTGCACTCCTCTGGAAACTCTATGAACTTTGATAAATGACCATAGGTTCAGGCCTTTTGTTAGTAGGTCACTATGAGTCATGCTCAACTTGACAGCAATCAACAACAAAGTATCTAATGTATAAGCATTGTAGAACATCTAATATATTTGTTACATATGTCATTGTAATAAATGATGGCTCATATTGTTCTCATTAACCCAGATTTTCATACTAAAGATACTGCACTACTGCTAAAGTTTTTTGAAGAATGTTATCTTTTTTTTTTGTGAGAAAAATTTGTATTTAGAATTATCCCACTGGACTCAGTTTAGATGATCCCAATTTTGTTGGCAACATCCAAAGCACCATAACCAGGAGCAAGTCAAACACAGGCCTTCTTCTCTCCATCAGGCCTAATCAAAGTGTTGACCTTGGCCACATCAATGTCATAGAGCTTCTTTACAGCTTGTTTAATTTGGTGCTTGTTGGCCTTGACATCCACAATGAACACAAGTGTGTTGTTATCTTCTATCTTCTTCATAGCTGACTCAGTGGTCAGGGGAAATTTGATGATGGCATAGTGGTCAAGCTTGTTTCTCCTGGGGGCGCTCTGCCGGGGTATGTGGGCTGCCTTTGGAGTCTCAGCTTCTTAGGCAGCCGGAAGGTGGGTGACATGCAGATCTTTTTTTTTTTGGCTGTGGATGCCTTTCAGGACTGCCTTCTTGGTCTTTAATGCCTTTGTTTTGGCTTCAGTTTTGGGAGGGGCAGGGGCTTCCTTCCTCGCTTTCAGTGCCATCTTCGTAGACGAATGTTACCTTCTTACCTATTCTGCATGTTGAAGAACTATGAAGTAATATCTACATAATCAATTTCTTTCTGGCATGGAAACAGATTCTTAACTAACCCTAGTTCTACTGCTAATGAAATAATGAAGCACAAATGGAGCTATGCTGAGACACGACAAAAAAATATGTCAAAAATCTACCATTTCAAGATTTCAAGCTATACTACTCTTCATGGAATTTAATAATGTCGTTATGAGTAGTAATATTGCAGATTCCCCATAGGATTACATTAATTTTTTCCACCTCTACATATGTATCATCATACCATATATCATATCATATGGCATAGCACTTAGAAGACTCTCAATAATTGGTTCAAAAAAAATAATCTCCTAGGGAGCTCTGGTGGCCTAGTGGCAAGAAGCTGCTCTGCAATACCAAAGGTTTGCAGTTCAAATTCACCAGATGCTCCGCCTGAGAAGGAGGGGAAATCTCCACCTGTGCCAGTCAGATCCGATTTGGTGGTACACCAAAAAAAAAATTAATCTCATGTTTTTCAGTGATTTGTGAATGTCAACTGAGTTTCTGTAATTCTGTACAGATGAGAATGCTGGTTCTAACACTCATTTTTTAAGTGAAATAGGTAGGGAAGACCTCATACTTTTAAAAAAGGCATAGTTTTCTTAACTTTTTTACCTAATTAAAAAAACCCCTATTTATCAGATGTTCTATTCTTGGTATACAGGAATTTTCATTCCAAATGTGCTTTCGTTTACTTCTCAATCTAAAGCTTAAAGTATGCTAGTTTTTAAAAAGTCAAAGGAAGGTTTATGATAAAGTCTTGTCTTGATTCTATCAGTAAGACAGATCTACCATTTGAAATCAGAAGATGACTATCTGGATCTTTAGGTAGATCATAACCTCCACTGACTTAGACTAGAGAATTTACAGTTTCAATCCAAGACAATCTCCTTTTCATCAAAAACAGCTGACCTTCCAGTGAGTTTGCAGAGACTGTAAATCTCAAGAGAGGAAACAGCCCTTGTCTGTCCTGGGTGCTGCTGGTGGACTCCAACCAAAAGAGAGTTGCCACCTCTGCATTAGCCGTGCAACTCCCCAAATACTAGGCCACCAGAGTTCCCTGATAATTTGTAAAGTTGCATTCAAACTGTAAAAAACTGGAGTCCAGTCCATGTTACACAATCTGTCATTTCAACATTCACCAAGATAAGCTGAAACAAAGAACAATTGGGGGGGGAGAGACTAAATATTTTTACTCACGATTATCAACAATACATGCATCCACTGTCTTTGTCACCATCACTGCGAGTTTAGCACTGGAGCCAGTCCGTTGTGAATCAGATTCCAGTTTCACAAGCACTTGGGACAATACATCCAGTCCACCCACAGATATAAAGTATTTCTGAACAGATGCTTAAGAAATAAAGTAGCAGAACAATTAGAACTTCATATTGACAAGACATTGCCCAAACAGTTCACTAACTTGATTATTTTTCAAATACTGACAGTAAAAATGTTTAAACTAGAGAATTGAAGATATAATCTTTCTAACTCTGTGTGTGTGTACTTGTATAATTTATGTAAGAACCTCATTTAGACAAAGTACTATGTATATACTTTACTAATAACATATTCTTCAGTGCCAGAAATCTGTTTGATTTAGTAAGAATTTGTCTATTTCAAAAGAATGGTATTCTTTTTTTTAAAAAAAATAATTTTAATGAAAGTTTACAAAGACTTAGGGCTTCCAGTGATTCATTGTTGCACTTTTCTTCCTACCCACCCCCTCCCCTATTCACTCTTCTTGAAAAGAAAAAGAAAAAACATTCATTGTTAAATAATGGTATTCTTTTTTTTCTTTTTATTTTATGTGTGGGTACCATCAAATCAGATCTGACAGGTACAGGAGGAGATTGCCCCTCCTTCTCCAGCAGAGCATCTGGTGGATTTGAACCATGCACCTCTGGGATTGCAGTGTAGCTTCTTGCCACTAGGCCACCAGAGCTCCCTAAAATAATGGTATTCTTAAAATCAGTAATTCAATAGCACTACAAAAAAAAACATAGATTCATTCACTTAGTTTAGTAGTATAATTAATTAGTAAGCTTCCCATTTTCTGAATTCCAACATAAGTCATTATTCAGATGCTTGAAATCTACAAAGGAAAACCTAATGTCCTTGTTCCAAAAGAACATATATTTCATCCATTTTGTTAATAGCCTGACTTCTTTACTTCCTGAGGCATAAAACTGTGTCACTGAGAGTCAAAACAACCTTATCAAGCAAAAATTCAGTAACATATTTTTTGGTAAAGTCTAGAGTCTTTTGTTTCCCTGTTAAAAATTATTTTTAAGTTGGTAGCCCAGGGTTTGGGATTCAACATTCTCCAGTTATGGGCATATAATAAATGGATGCATGACTACTGACTATAATTCTACAACAAACCTTCTTCCCAAGCTGCCCAAGTCTCATAAGTAAGATCTAAGATTATTTTAAAAAATAAAAGTATTTCATTGTACTTCATTGTTTAATAAAACAGATGTCATTCTAAAAAAAAAATTTCAAAAATTTTCTAAATCTGGGGAAGGAACTACTTGGAAACATTATTTAAGGGGAAATAAGCATTTTTTGCTGTTATAGATCTTGCAGGATATAGTTTTTTAAAAACTGAAAAAGGAGCGTATTTTTAAATGCTTAGATGAAAACAGAACTGTGCTGCCACAAAAATATTTTAATTATATCTGAAGTTATTCAGAGGGAGCTCTGGTGGCTTAGTGGTAAGAAACTGTGCTGCCAATGCAAAGGTACATGGTTTGAATCCATCAGCTGCTTCACAGGAGAAAGATGGACAATCTCCTCCCATGTGATTTACTGCCTCTGAAAACCTGCTGGAGGCTCAGCTCTGGGTTACCATTCAACAGTACACAATAACAATTCAGTGTTCTGAGTGGAAGATCCTAATATGTAATTGTTGGGGATGGTTGGTAGGTGCCATGGAGTTGGCTATGTGCGACGGGATGAAACGTTGCCTGATCCTGTGTCATCTTCCTCTGCTATACATAAACCGTCACTGCTGTATCAATACACCGTGTTGGGAGTCTTCATCTTTTCACTGACTTTACCAAACATGACGTCCTTCTCCAGGACTGGTCCCTCCTGATTACATGCCCAAAGTGCATGAGATGAAGTCTTACCACCCTGAATGCTAATGTACTTCATATAAGATAGACTTTCTTGTTCTTTTGGAAGCCTGCTGATTATTCAACATGATTCTCCAGTACCACAATTCAAAGGCATCATCAATTCCTCAGTCCCCCTCATTCACTGTCCAGCTTCTGTGTACGAGGCATTTGAGAATACCATGACTTACGTCAGGCACACTTCAGTGACATCCTTGCTCTTGAGAACATGAAGGGTGTATGTGACAGGAGACCTGCCCAGTGCAAAACATTGATTTCTTAGCTGCTGCCTCCATAGACACTGATTGTGGATCCAAGTAAAAGGAAATCCTCAACAACTTTATATAAAATTTGGTTTGTCATGATGTTACTTACTGGTCCAGGCGTAGATTCATGCTTTCTTGATTGAGGTGTAATCAATACTGAAGGCTTTGAGTTTCATCAGTAACTGCTTCAAGTCTCCCTTGTTTTCTGCATATCTCAGATGGTGGTTGTGTCTTCCTAACTAATGATATTGAGCTTACTCACTTACAGTGGTGGTTTTCATGTTGCTGTGATTCTGGAAGCTGTCACTGATATTTCAAATACCAGCAGAGTCACCCATGGTGGACAAGTGTCAGTGGAGCTTCCCGACCAAGACAGACTAGGAAACAGGCCTGGTCATCCACTTTTACAATAACGAGCCACTGAAACTTGTGTGAAGAGAAGAAGGACACTGTAGGATATAGTGTGACGAGAAGGAGGACACTGTATGATATAGTGCCCAAAGCTGAGACCTTCAGATTGTAAGGCACTTGAACAACTGAAGAAGAGCTGCCTCCTCAAAGTAGAATCCACCTTAATCAGGTGAAAAGAATAAAACTTCCAACCAGTTACTGCTGTCTTGTTAGAAGCCATCAGATTGAATACAACTCACAGTAACCCTAAGAACTCAGATATAAACCATCCTATCCTGTGCCATCCTCATCATCTTGGACACATTCGAGACCATTGCTGCTGTCACTGTCAATTTATCTCATTGAAGGTCTCCTTCTCCTTCACTGACCATCCACTTTCCCAAGCCTGATGTCCCTTTCTATAGAAGAGTCTCTCCAAGCAAACATGCCTAAAGTATGTGAGGTAAAGCTTCACCATTCCTTCCTCCAAAGAGCATTCTGGCTGCATTTATTCCAAAGACATAGCTGTTCTTTTAGTTGTCCGTGGGATACTCAATGGCATGATAAAAATCGCACCTGTTTCAAAAAATTTATTCCTAAACTTTTTGACATTATTATAAATGACAATGTTACAACTGTTTGTGGCTAGTATATAAAAAGAATATTTTTTTATCCTAAAACTACTAAAATAATTTCTTAATTATAGTTGCATTTTTGTAGATTCTTGGGATTTTTCTATATAGTCAACCATTCGACGAGTGTTATTATGTGCTGTAGAGTCAGAAGCAACTCATAGCTGACCCTCCTGTAGGTTTGCATGGGCTCTCAATCACACAGGAGGAAACTGCCCATCTTCCTTTTGTGAAAGACCGTCCAACTGCCTGCCTTTGGTTTGGCAGCACAATTCCTTACCTACTTTTTCTAAAAACCCTTATCTACAGAGCTCCCTATATATGAGTAATATTGACATATATGGATAAATACTACTATATATTAATCAATACTGCTATGTATGAATAAATACTGTTTTTCTTCTACTTCATCCAGTTATACTTCCTTTGTCATCCTCTTCATGTCTGTTGAGTTTTATAGTGATGTCATCATTTCTGATACTGGTAATTTGGGTTGTCTCTCTTGATTTCTTGATCAGTTGGCTAAAGCCTATTTTATTAATAATTTTAAAGAACCAACTTTGGGGCAAGCTCTGGTGGCCTAGTGGCAAGAAGCTGCACTGCAATCCTAGAGGTATACAGTTCGAATCGACCAGATGCTCTGCCGAGGAAGGAGGGGCAATCTCCTCCTGTACCAGTCAGATCTGATTTGACGGTACACACACACAAAAAAAATAAATTTTTTTAAAAAAAACCAACTTTGGGTCTCAATTTTTCTCCTGTTTTTCAAGAACATAGAATTTCCCTTCCTTTTGTAATTTTTATTATATCTGTTTTATAGATTTTTTTTAAATAGTTTTTTCTTCAGTTCTGAGTTGTTTAATTTCCAGCTATTTGGGACTTTCCCAGGGGCTTTTCTATTAATTTCTAGTTCAATCATATTACGGTCTGAGAACACATTCTATGGAGTTTTATTTTTGCTACCTAATTGCCCTGTTTTCTAAGGGTGTCTGTGGAGATTAAAAACTATGTTGCTACCATGATCTTTCTAACAGTTTTTCCTAAGGCAATAGTCTAAATCCATCTCAAAGACACAAATTATTATGCTTTGAAATAAATGTTTCCTCCAGAGTAATCTACAGAATAATGAATACTTACCGTTATTTGAAAGAGTAAGCCCAATAAATGAACAAATAGGGCGAATTATCTCAGGTTTCATGCAGTTTATTAACCACTCACTAGCATGTGGGAAGAGTGAACAGCATATTGTTTGATTGTCATCTAAAAGGAGAGAAAAAGTCAATCATGTTCTAGCAAAGCTATGGAAAATACCAGTGTGGAAAACTGAAATCTCACTTCTATTTCTTTTATCTTTACTTTCACATAATAGTTGAGATAATTACCATTTTGGGGATTGTTGACACAGACACACAGTGTACTGCACACTGAAGACCACAACTGATAACGCTGGAAAATATTTTTATCTGACAAATCCAACTCATATTTTGAAAGAACCATCCTGTTTTGATAAAAAGAAATGGAAGTCAATTAATATAAATGTTTTAGTCTTAAGTAAGGAATAGCAACAAGGAATTCCTATTTTCTTACCTGAACAATTGTGACAGGATTGTAATACAACCAGTTTCTCTCACAAGCGTTTGTCCAGTCCCTTAAAATAAAAATCACCTTCATCACACAAATAAGAATTTTTAGATATATTTTAATGCTTAGTTAATGCATATATTTAGTATTATAATAAGTATCTTTTAATTACTTATTTGAAAAAAATGAAGTATTACAAAGTAATATAGGACTAAAACAGACAAAAAGCTGTAGTCCAAATTACTGTGGAAATGAAATATTCAGATGGAATTACTAAGACAGTTGACACATTGGGGGGAAAAAAATCACCAATGTTACCAAACAATTGCTGGAAGAATAGTTAAATGAGGGCCTAATGTGCTGTGTAAATTTTCACTGAAAACACATTGGGGTTTTCTTTTAAATAAAAGATTATTTATAGAAGATAAAAAATATGATAAATCAACAGTATCAATTTCCTTTAAAATGTTTAGACAATTTTCAGGCATCATGGTTCTGTGTTAAAATTTCTAATCTTCAAAACAGAAAAAATTCATCTTTTCTATATTTTTCAAAGTATTAAATATACTCTCTAGATATATTTCAAATGCTTATAGTATTTTTAACAAATTGAGAAATTATATACAGCTTTTTTTATTATTAATTTTAATAGACATTTATAGAGGTTTTGGTTTCCCATTCATTCATTGTATATACAGCTATTTTTTAAAAAAACAACCTTAGTCTAAATGATATAAAAATTCTTTATATTATTTTTGTAATTCTTCTGGAAATGTAAAATTATTCCAAGATAAAAGCTACAACACTCAAACAAAATTAAAAAAATACTTTAGTCATGAAATATAAAACTATAGCTAGCTAAAACAGTAAATGCTATACTTAAATGGCAAATTAAAGAGGAAATAGAGCAAACTAATTAAACGCCTCCATTTGCTTGTAAAGCTGTTACTTTTTAATACTAGTTAAGACAAATCATTTCATTATTTCTTACAATTAATGATAAATATTGAATAATTAAATGTATGCTATTATGCCCCCTTTTTAAAACTTTTTTGTTTATTTTCTTTAAAGTCAGTTTTCAGCGGACCAAATGTCCATCAGCAAACGAAGGAATGGAGAAACTGTGATGCATTTACACAATGGAATGCAATGCAGCACTCAGAAACAAGGATTTAAAAACAAACAAACAAACAAAAAACACACACACAACTATTTATCATGGGAGATCCTGGAGAGCATTACGCTGATTGAAGTAACTAAGTCTCATAAGAACAAGTACTCCATGATACAAGCATGGTAAAACCAGAAGAATAATGAGCAAGATGTGTTCAAAAGGCCAAAGGGGGAAGGGAACGGGGCAGAAAGGATTAGGGTGAGGAAGGGACAAAATCATAGGATTGCAGAATTTAGTGGATGGTGCAAAGGGAGTGAAGGAATTAGGAGAGATCTCATGGGGACCTGAAAAGGTGGGGTAATAGTAGGCATAAATCAATAGTGATTAATTTTATAAAACACAATGTAAATGAAGAAATGTGTAAAACATGGTATATATGAATGAAACACAATACATCAGAATTTTCTTATGCAAACTAATATAAATTTTTTAAAGTCAGTTTTTAAAAGTTAGTGAGATAAAAAGATAATTATATATACACATACACACACACACAAAAGATTAAGAATTAAGAATGACTGTCTCAGCGAGCTCTGGTGGCCTAGTGCCAAGAAGCTGCAATGCAATCCCAGAGGTGTGTGGTTCAAATCCACCAGATGTTTTGCTGGAGAAGGAGGAACAATCTCCTCCTGTGCCAGTCAAATCTGATTTGATGGTACACACATGCACAAATAATAAAAATAAAATAAAAAATTTTAAAAAAAAGAATGTCTCAATTTACTATCTTTATGTTCTTACCCTATAAAAGAGAATATACTTACTATTATTTGAAACTAAAACCAAAATAACATAAACAGACATTCTTTTCAGATTGGTGTTAGAATCATTATTAGATAGGAACTCAATTAAGTCTTCAAACAACTCTGAAGTGCACAAAGTCTCCTGACAGTAAACTGAAATACAAAAATACAATTTTCATTATTATTTGTCAGCACATGCAATTTTGAAAATACAAAATCATCAAACTGGGAGTGGTTAACTGGATTTCAGTTTTCATTTATTAATCATACAATATAATTTCTAATGAATTGTTACATGTTAATTAGAAGACCAAGGAAGTCATAACTTAATCAGAAGGACTTGATCCAGGCTCCAAAATACCTGTCTCAACTGCCTAGAATTTCTAGTAAAAAATCTACTAAATATAAATTAAAAATTTAACCAAAAAAATTAAAGAGATTGAATGACAAAATATAACAACAAAAATATTTCCTAAAAATTCCAAAAACTACTCTGGAAAATGGGAAAGAGTTTCCTTACGACTATTTTTCCAGAAATAAAAGTATCTCTTAAAAATGCAAATTGGTTAATTTTTGTAATAATCACACAATAAAAAGAATTATCAAAATAATAAAGTCATATTAATCCGCATTTCATCCACTGTCTAGCACCATTATTATTGTTGTTTACCATCAAGTTGCAGCCGACCCATGGCTGACCCTCCAGTGGGTTTTCAGAGGCAATAAATCCAATTGGAGGAGATTGCCCATCCTTGTCCTGTAGAGTGGTAGACTCTGTTCTTGTATACAGATTGAAAAGGTATGGAGAGAGAATATATCCCTGGCAGACATCCTTTACAATTTTGAACCATCAAATATTTCCTTGCTCTGTTCTGATGACTGCCTCCTGGTTCACGTTTCGCATAAACACAATCAAATGTTCTGGGATTTCCATTCTTCTCAGAGTCAGCCACAGATTGTTGTGGTCCACAGAATCAAATGCCTTTACATAGCCAATGAAACAGAGAGACATTCCGCTGGTACTCTCTACTCTCAGCCAAGAACCATCTAAAAGTAGCTATAATATCCCTAGTACAATGACATTTTTTTATTTTTATTTTATGCTCAGGCAAGGCATCGCACTGGGAGGAACCCGGGGTCACAAATGCGTTTGAAGTGTCCATGATCAATGTGTCCTACAATTCACATTAATTCTCGCAGCTAGCTGTGTACTTCATTGATACACGAGCAGAGTGATACACAGCTAAGAGTCATACATAACAGGGGAGGGTGCAAACCCAGTCCCCCACTACCACAAATTATGCAGTCGAGTTTCTCACACTTGGGGAAGTTGCAGGGGTCAGCACATCTGGAGTGCAAAGGATAAACCTCACCCTGGGAAAACCACCTTTGTGATCATGGTATTTCCCCTGCCAGGTAAGTATACAATGGCCTCTTCTAAACCCAGCCTGCACTTCTGGAAGTTCTCTGTTGATGTACTGCTCTAGTAGTTTTTGGATAATTTTCAGCAGAATCTTGCTTGCATGCGATATTAATGATATTGTTCGATTCTGTACCAAAAGCAAATCTATCCAAACGAGTGGAGGTTATTTTCATTGTTTGATTAAGGCACTTAGATAAAACAATCCAGAATTGTAAAAAAGCATTTTAATTATCAAATTATTCTTGTATAGTTTTTAAACAGTATAATACAGTGCTTGAAAGACAATTAAATCATTTTTTTATCTTACCATTTCGTTCTGCAACAGCTCCTAATGTGTATAATGCGGCTTCTTTTACCATGCTGTGTTCACTTGACTTTGCAAGATTTCTTACAAACGTCAAACCACCAATCTCCCTAAAATAAGCACTTGCATTATCTATAAGGTACACAGAAAACAAAAGAAAAAATCTTTAATTATTCTTACAAAGATAAAATAAGTTATATGAAGAACATAACAATAGGAGTAAACTGGTAGATGGGAAAGAAGTACTCTCATATCTTACTGCTTTGTTGACAGATTGAATGAATGGTGACCAAAGCATCCTTTTGTGAGCAAGGGCTGTCCATCTGATGCTTCAGACATTCCAACAGTAAGTTCAAGTCAGTCTTCATTTCTAAAGAGCAAAATTTTTATTTTTTAAAAAGTTTTCTTTTAAAAATTTACCACATATTATTTCTTATTATATTATCTGTTCAATGATTCACTTTGAAAATAAGTATTGTTGCTATTACCATAGCTGACCCTCCATCAGGTTTTCAGAGGCAGTTCTTCACAGGAGGAGACTGCCCATCTTTCACCTGTAAAACGACTGGTATTTCAAACTGTGTGCCTTTGCGTTGGAAGCACAGCTCCTTACCACTAAGCCATCGGGACACAAATGTTTAAATAAGAGGACTTAAAATGAACTTCTTAAATTTCTTTCACTTTGCATGAAAAACAATTAATAATGTAAATATTCTTTTTAAATTTTTATTGGTTTGCTTACAAAGTTCATATACACTGTTTTACACTATCCTTTATTCACATTGTGTTTCCTATGATCATTCCCATTCATTGTTTTATAAAATGAATCACCATTGAAACATTACCCTGTCTTCCCAAACCCCTACTGTATCTTTCCCATTTCCTTTACCTCCACCTCCCTCCACCCACCAAATTGTGTGACCCTATGATTCCTCCCTGCTCTTCCTCTCCCATCTGTTCCTACTCTCCCCTATCCTCATACATGTTTTACTAGTTATCTTTCTTAAATATTAAGTAAAACTTTCAGTTTTAACACATGCCACTTAGAAATTAGAAAATATTTTGAAGTGAATGAAAATCAACTACAACATATTAAGGAGTCCTAATAGAATGGATTGAAGTTCAACATCAAGAAAACAAAGAGGCGAGCTCTGGTGGCCTAGTGGCAGGAAGGTGTACTACAATCCCAGAGGTGCACAGTTCAAATCCACCAGATGCTCTGCTGGAGAAGGAGGAACATTCTCCTCCTGTACCAGTTAGATCTGATTTGACGGTACACACACAAAAAAAAAAAAAAAAGAAAAAGAAAACAAAGATTCTCACCACTCAGCCAATTGGCGTTATCATGATAGTTAGAATGAGATTGAGACTGTCAGCAGCATCAGTTTGCTTGGCTCTACAATCAACACTCTTGGTATCAACAGCCAGGAAATTAAAAGACGAATTGTATTGGAAAGTTTGCTGTCAGGGAGTTATCCAAAGTACTGAAGAGCAACAACAACAGTCTGGAGACTAAGGTGTGCCTGATACAGGCCATGGTCTTTGCAATTAATTGCTATCCATTAGAAAGCTGTACAATGACTATAGAGATGATAGAAGGAGAATTGATGCCTTTGAGCTGTGGTGCTGGAGAAGAGTATTAAATATACCATGGACTGCTAGGAGAACCAATAAGTTCGTCCTGGAGAGGGTGAAGCCAGGCTGCTCCTTGGAGGCAAGGATACTGAAGCTTCATCTGACATACTTTGGACATGTTGGAAGGCAGGATCAGTCCTTGGGGAGGGATGTCATGCTTGGGAGAGACAGCACAGGAGAGGAAGACCCTCAATGAGGTGGATTGATTCAGTGGGGTAATGGGAGTCGGTGTGTCAGAGACAATAAGATTGGCATGGGATAGGGCAGGATTTAGGGTTGCTATAAGTCACAGGTGACTCAACGGCACATTAACAACAACAGAACATCAAGTAACAGCTGAGACGGCTAAGCTAAAAGTCAGTGATTTGAATCTAGCTACTCCGTGGGAGAAAGATGGGCAGTCTCCTATAAAGAGAAATACAATGGTGGCAGCCCATTTCTAAAGCATTCTAGTCTTGGAAACTCTACAGAGCAGTTCTCCTCTATCCTATATGGTCACTGTTTTTTTGTATTCTAGCAGTATTTAAGAGGACAGTAATAGTTCTAAATGCCTATATACTGTCAGAGTTTTTAAGTTTTTTATACTGACTGCAGATCCTCATCTCTCACTTATTCTTGTTATTGTTATGTGCTGTCAAGTTGCCTGCAACTCATAGCGACCCTATGTATAATAGCCCTAACCCTGTTCTATCCTTTGCCAATCTTCCACCTCAGTTGCTCTATCTGCTAGTCTAAGTGTGTTCTATTGTACATAGGGTATTTGAAGGCCTGCTATTTCAGAAGTGGATGGTCAATCCTCCTTCCTAGTCTGTCTTAATCTGAATGCTCAGATTTAGAACAGCATCTGAAAAACATGGAACGTGTCACAAATTTGCATGTCATCTCTCACTTAGATCTCAGTATTCTGCAATCTGACTGAAATGTAGTTACAGTCAATAATATAACAAATGAGATCTCTTACATGAAAGCCAGTGCTCAGTCTTTATCTGTGACACTGATTTGACACTGATGCACTTAAGCAATGCTTCCTCATGAAGCATTCTAAGATTGAGTTCCAGGTGATTACTCTCCTGACTCTCTCTACTCCTTTTAAAAGATTTTTTCCTAAAAAGCAATTATCCTCAGTCAAATCCTTATTTGGTGATATACCTAGAAAATATGATTCCTCCTTTTTTTCTTTTAAATCAGTATTAAATATGATTCCTCCTTTTTTCTTTTAAATCAGTCTTTCCTCTATGGTTTCAATTGCTATCTTTCCAAAAACAACTCTGAAATCTTGTGCAAATATAACATTAAATCACCTATAATAAGAAATTTTCATTATCAGCGTCTCATTTCCCCAATAGAATATATGATAGGCACATGATAGATAATAAATATCTGTACATTTTCAAACACCTCTTTTGTTTCCTGGATACTGTGAGGTAACTTGCAGGATATTCTACAAATATAAAATTAATTCCACATATAATATACATTAATTTCTCACCTTGCGTTTTCTCTGTGCTTTCATAGTCCATGCTTGTTTGTTTTCTTTTTCCTTATATTTCATCTATAAGAAATACATTCTCTCAATTTAAATAGATATTTGTAATGGCAAAGAACAGAAAATGCAGAGGGGTTAGGAAAGAACATGAAAACTAGAAGACCAGAAATTGAATCACTTATTTATATGGAATGTAATCTTAGGTTAAATAGTTTAAGTTCTGTAAAACAGGAGTATTTCAACTTCATAAGGTTCTTAAAACAATTTTTTTAATTAATTTCAATGAACATCTACAGAGGTTTTGGACTTCCATTCATTCATTATTGCACTTTTCTCTCCACCCACCCCACCCCCACCCCCAGTTCGCTCCTCTCCTTGAAAATTAAAACACAATTTGAAAGCACACATAAATATGCTATTATCTCCAGCACTACAGGCATTCAACAAATTTTACCAAAAATATAAATGCTTGACAGACTCTAGCTATTCTACTTCTGGTCCTATTTCCTTAAATTCTTTTTGTAAACTTCCCTATTTGTAACTTTTCATTTTATGGCTTCAGACAGGACACCCCCACCTTGAAGCTAAAACTCATACATGACACACATTTCAGTAGCCCTGAGTTAAGGTAGGTTGTAGGTTAGGTGTTGCCCTGTTAATCAAGAGGTCAGCCATTCAAAACTAACACTCTTCAGGTGTGTGGTTCAAATCCACCAGATGCTCTGCTGAAGAAGGAGGAACAATCTTCTCCTGTACCAGTCAGATCTGATTTAACGGTACACACACACAAATAATTTAAAAAAAAACAACAACAAAACTAACACTCTTTCTGTAGAAGGCAGATGAAGTCAGTCTCCTCTCATAATATTTACAGCATCAGAAACCTCAAGGCCCACGAGTGGGAAGTGACAGCAAGTGGTTAAATGAATTATTTACAGAAACGTGAGTCCAAGCAACTTCTCAGAAGAACAAATCAGGACTCACAGAATTCTAAAATTCTAACTTACTCAAATTGTAATTTTTTGTTTACTGTGGAGTCAGAGCTGACCCTACGGTAGGTTTTCAGAGGCAGTAAATCACATGGAAAGAGACTTTGAACTATGTGCCTTTGTGATTGCAGCACAGCTTTTGTACCACCACCAGAGAGCTCCCTAGAATTTTCACTTGCTCAAACATAATATGGAGTCAGTTAAATTCCCTCAGTTAAGGAAGACAAAGAGGATAGCTGGTTATTCTTTTAACAAATATTTCTTTTCTATAGCTCCGGCTCTCATCCTTTGGGCATGTGGCCAGGAGAGACCGGTCCTTGGAAAATGACATCATGCTTGAAAGGGTGGAGGGACAGCACAGGAGAGAAAGACCACGGATGAGATGGATTGATAGGGTGGTTGGGGCAAAGGGAGTTGGTGTGTAGGAATTAGAGGAATTAAAGACTGGCTCAGAAGGACAGGGCAGGATCATTATGGGTTGCAGGCGACTCAACGACACGTAATAACAAGAAGCAGCAAAAATGCCACCAACTCTGCCAGCTTTGTGTGAAACAAGGAAATAAAGGCTTCATTCTCTTAAAAAAAAGCAGCAAAAAATGAACATATGAGGCTCTTCTAAATTAATTACAAAAATATACTATTTTTAGTGCAACAATGAATGAATGGAAACCCAAAATCTCTGTAAATGTTTATGAAAATTAATAAAATATAGAAAAAATATATATACTATTTTTATTATTTTTAACCCAAATATTCTGTTAAAAGGTGAATGATTAGGTTACATTATGGTACATCAAAAGATCAGAATATTGTTTTAAGAATATTAACATGTACCAGATACGATTAATAGCAAGGAAAAGTGTCTATGTTATATAAGCCTCAAAATGCGATCCCACTGAAGTAAAGATAAACGTAAAAGTGGATAACATATTAACGTAGTATTAACTCCATGGGCAGGAAATCGTTTGACTGATATTCAGCTCTTTTCTATTTTTTTTCCCCGCCACACTTTTTATACTAATAATGGGCTCTCATACTCTTTATAATGGACCAGGCTCTAATATATACCCTCTATACAGTCAATCCTCAGTATATGTGGAACCCCTATTTGCTAATTTCCCTTCCATTAAAATTAATTTGTAACTCCAAAATCAATACTCATGGTATATTTAAGGACAAACAGCCAAGATCTTAGTCACCTGCTTAGCACATTCCCAGCTGAAATAGAACAAGGTGATGCTCTGCTGTTTTTACCTCTCCTAGTTAATAGGTACCAATATATATTCACTTTTTTTTTACATTTTTGTGCTTCTTGTTGATTTCACTATTGGAAATAGGGCTGAAGCATTGTCTAGTGGTCCTAAACACAAGGTGACTCACAACCAATGAGTTGGTTTTAGACAAATTTTTCGCCAGCTGGAAGCACTATGTGCAATGAATCCAATGTAAATGAATAACAATATATATATTAAATAAGGTGTATATAAGTAGAAAAAAGGTTAATACTGATCAGTTGACTTAAATGTTGTGACCAGAGGCTTGAAAGAACTTAATCTTGGATTGTTCCTAGGAGCAATGGTTTTCTATTCATTAATTCAAGTGTCTGCAATATATTTATAGAAAATAACTTCCATGAATACTGAGAATTGCATTATCTTTTCAGTCTTTACAATGCTGTATAAGAATGATGAAAAATGAAACAATTTGCTCAAGTGCACAAAATTAAGTGTCAGAGTTAGAATGGGAACTAGGAAATTCTGAGGGCAGAATCTATACTCCTCATACTGGCTACCATATGGTGTTGTTGAGTATCATTGAGTTAAATAAACTCATGAGTTTTCAGAGGGAGCAAATAAGGGAGGAGTTTGCCCATCGTCCTCCTGCAGAGCAGCTGGTGGATTCAAAACAAGTACCTCTGGGTTGGCAGAGCAATTCCTCGCCACTAAGCCATAGAGCTTATACTGTTGCTGTTGTTGTGTTCCACTGAGCTGGAACCAACCCATAGCTGACCCTCCTCCAGTGGGTCTTCCGAGGCAGTAAATCACAGAGTAGACTGCCCATCTTTTCCCGCATACATATATAGATATGTATTCCTTTTGAATAAGTAGTTTTAACACTTGGAAAAAGAAGACTAGATACAAAAATACTGTTAAAAAATACTTGAATTCTATGTAGATGTTTTTGCTTTGTGTGTGCAGGTGTGGATTAACAACTGTTTCCCTAGTTTCAATGAGCAAATATATTCTGCTTTCAAATATGTTCTTTTAAAAGAAGAATGTATGCACACCCATGTTTATTGCAGCTTTGTTCACAATAGCAAGGAGCTGGAAACAACCTAAGTGCCCATCAACAAACGAATGGCTAGAGAAGCTGTGGTATGTTCGCACAATGGAATACTATGCTGCATTAAAAAACAAGGAACTCATGCAATATTATTCAAAATGGTTGACTCTG